ACACAATTTTTAAAGAAAAAGCTAACCACTTTCCCCCCCCCCCCCCCGTTACTTATTGCAGTGCATTTCAAGAAAGTCAGTGAACAAAATCAAGTAGTACCAAGTTCCACTGGTACAGTTACAGAAGTTACAGAACCTACTTTTTCATGAATGACATCTATTTTGTCACAACTTGTCTTCAGACTTTCCCCAGTTAACAACTCCGATTTCATCCGGGACAACTCTAGTTCTAGCTTTTTAACTTTGGACAAAAGTTGACTATGTTCATCATCATCTCTGAAAAAACCAAGGAGTCAATAATTAGGAAAGAGTAGTTCGAATCATTCCATCAAATTCCAAAGGTGCGAGAACGTACTTGTCTAATACAAAGTGCTTTCCTAGTTCAGTTATTCACCACGATAAACATTGTGAGCTTGCAGTTCCTTCAAGATGTTATTTAAGGCATACTTAGGATTAACATGTTCAAAGCAAAGTATTTTGAAGTTGTGAACAAATCCAGCAGTGATGACTTTAGAACATTGCCAGGCTGACAAGTCAAACATATATAGATTTTGGTGAATTTAAGGTTCCTGGCAAACCATTCAAACTTTATTTGCATGAGTGTGCCACTGGTTAGAGTGAGTTTCAGGTTACCTTACTTAAACCAGAATAACTTTAGAGGCAGGTGTCAAGTTGCGGTCAAGTAGCAGGTCACATACGACCAATATAGATCAGTGTTCAGTGCATGCTATGGAAAGAAGTATCAGCCATCATTCTAAAGCCATTTTACATTCAGACCTAATTTAAATGAGAATTCAGCAAATAAGTGTTTCTTTTCCTCTTCCTAATGAGAAAACTACTTGATGAAGTGCTCCAGTTTTTATCGTGGTATTACACAGTGTGTGAGTGGAAAGTAGTACAGCTGACAAACTAAAATCAGAGACGAAGGTTAGAATTGATACAATTCAAGAATTTAAACATAAAGCCTACCAAAAGTAGTTACTGTATACTTCACTAGGCAATTTGAGGAAAAATTCTAAGGCATTTATAAGAGGATGAGAAGTCACTCATTCTCCTCCACTATGTAAACAGCTTTCTGTACTGAAAAATGTAGTTGCAGGATTGCTCACACACTGGAAGTGGGCCTTGAGCTGATGTTCAGCTTCACAGTTGAAGTCGATTATGAGACAGAAGTACTCTTTCTGACAATACAAACTCTTAAGGTCAGTTACCTGACACACAGAAAAGTACTGTTGGATTTCAAAGAAGAACATGTATATCACCATCAGTTAGCATCAAGATTGAAAAAGCAAAGTATATTTGAAAAGTGCTTATACCTCACTGTTTTTGCTTTGGCTATGTCAAGCTCCTTCTGGATGTCCTAAAAAATACAAAAGTTAGTTTTAGCAAAGAAACACAAGTGACAGAAAGAAGATAAAGAATGTTAGGTGAAAGTGACAGATTTTAGCACCAACTACACAGGACTGTGTCCCCACACTTATGTTTGTGTCCTCTGTAATAAGATTTTATTCCAAATAGAACCTGCCTCATGGGTCAAGTGAATAATTTTTAATCTTTGGACTGAAACCCCCTCCAAGAAGGGAGACCAAGACCACAAACTAGTTTTGAGACTTAAAGAACTGTAATAGCTAGAGTAAAGCAAACTGGGGTTTGGGACAGCTAACAAAAAGCTTAGTCTATTTTATCAACGGGTTACAGTTAGAGCAAGTTAGCAAAGCTAATTTTCAGTACCTTGGATTCAGCAGAGAGTTTTCCAAGAAGGTCTTCCAGTGTCAGGATGCGTAACTCATGTTCTTGATGTAAAGCCAGGAAGTCAGTCTTAAAAAACAGGGAAGAAAAAGGTGGTGTATTTTCTTTTTGAGTACAAATAATATAATTGCTATTTTCTACAAAGCATAATTTTTATTTCATTCTGTGAGTGCTTAAGTGATTTATCCTGCAGGTAGTGTGAGAAATTATAGAATCTGTAATAAAGGCCTGATTCAGCAGTAGTAGGGGTTACAAACAGGGAATTTTACCACAAAACCCCTTCTTTGTCACTAGCCCTTCCTATAGTCTTCTTTCTCTGTATGAAAACAGGATAAATCCAGCTGCTTTTCAGCAATCTAAGATTCTACTTTAGACCACCTATCTGGAATTAATTCTTTGTCAGCAATATCAAAGGAGGAACAAATGCCAATTACTACTCCCTGGCATTTACTACCTATTAGTTAATTCTGTAACAGAAAAAGAATCCTAAAGTCAAATCACTAATAATCTGCATTATTGAAAGAGAACTCTTTGATCAGTAACAAAGCATCAATAGCTATCTTACCTTTTCCTCCAGTTTCATATTTTCAAGATGTTGACCCATCACATTTTTTATTAGCTTCAATGTTTCACTTTTGTCGCTCATCTGGGCAACCTGATCTTGAAGATTATGGAGCAGATGCATCACTTTACTATATTCTTCATCATGGTGATGGCATCTATCAGACACGAAGGCCATTTGCTTCTCCAGCTCACTTATACGACCAGAATCAAAGATATTTACGGTATCCTAAGATAAAGATTTTTTTTTAAAACATTAAAAAAAAAATCAAGACATTTATTTACATTACCCTTGTGTATCAAGTAGTTATTGCAAAATACCGAAGGCGTGAGAGTTAAGAAGTCTTAGAAGATACAAAAGTTCTTCCCTAGACTGTTCTCCCTTACCTTTGGAGGTTGCACAGAGTGAAAAGAATCAGCCTGTGGTTTAGGAACACGTATAGAGTCATCTGTTCTCTGTAGTCTATCAATTCTTGTCCAGTTCAATGAAGGTAATAATGAAATGAAGCCATCAAACCCCCAGAACCATATACCTAGATCAGAAGCAAAAATGGTGTTCAAGAGAATTTTCCCTTAAGACTGCTTATATCTACAAATTGTCTTCTTACTTAAGGACACAAGCTACTTTTAAGTTTGCAAGGTAGATGTCACACAGTGGACATTATTCCAGTCTAAATAAAAATAAGCATGAGCCAGCTTTAAAACTGTTACGTCAAGCACTCAAGAATATTAGAGAACATCCATCTCACACAGTTACAAGGCAGGCAACTTGCGCTTATATATCGTGATTTATCCTTAATCTCATGCTACCGCTTCCCAGGGACCTAGATCTCATTTACTGAGACAGGCCATGCTCACTAAAGGCAGATGTAAATACTGCTTTTTATCTCAATGGAAAATATCTTGCCTTATGCCCTGCTTACTACATACCACATTGCATAATATCTAATAGAAGTTGGAGGAAACTTAGGCTTCCATGGAAACAATCTAGCATTTCACAAAGATTACACTTATTTCTGCAATATCTTAGTGAGAAGTAGCAGCATTTTCTACAGGGGTAACTTCTTTCTTATTCTCCCTAGTACAGAGGATTTTGAATCCCCACTGTAAGTTTCTGAGAAGCTTCGTCTTCTCCCCAATGCAGCTACAAGTTTTTTAGGACATGCGAAAACATGAAACCACGGCCCAGTGCTTTTGGTAAATATTTTAAACTGACTTTGTTTATTTCAAATTAAGACAGCTAGCCTGGAACATTGTCAACTAACCAGTCTAAACAGCAGTATTTCAAGCAACTACAGCATGGCCTAGAGCAAAGGAAAGATTTAGGATGGAGTTGGTAGAAGAACTTAACTACACTTTTACGGAGATCGATAACAATCAAAGCAATCAGTTCACAGCCTACTCTTTATGAGCTCATTGCTATTCCTATGAAGCGATGCAAAGAAAAAAAGGACTTCAGTGCATTTACTTACTCACCCACTCTCTCTGTCTAAAGAGCTCTATGAAATTAAATCAAGGGTATTCCTTTCACGGCAAGGGGAATGCTCACTGACTTGTCACTACTTTGAAAGCTTGAATTACTGCCCTGTTCACAAACAAACTTGCTCTTTTTTGCTTCTGCATCTTCTTCATAAACCAAAAGTTCAACTAAAAATGCTATTTTGGAACAGCTATAATAAGCATATGCCAACTTGTATTATAACTAAACGATTCACATACCTAGTAGAAACAGGAGTGGGATAAGAAACAGTAATAGCTTGTAGATCTTTGGAAGGCATCTAGAGAAAGAGACAGGAAAGTTTATGGAAACAATACATTTATATGTTTTTGTTTTATAATATAACTGGGTAAATAATTTGCTCACAAAACAATTTTTTCAAAGGATACACACCTTCTAAGAAGAAACACCTTGAGCAAAGACATCAGAGTAACAAGTTGATACCACCCAGTTCTAAGCAACCTGAACATGCCAGAAGCTGCCCTCCCTAGAAAACAAAAAGTGGTAGTGTGAAATGTAATTACTGCAGCACATGTTCAAAGGAACCAAGCAGAGGGACATGCAACTGTGGCCAAGAATACTTTGCACAGCAGAGAAATGCATGAGTACAGGCAACGCATGCAGCTTATTAACATCTAGATATCACAAGTACGACAGCGTTATAACATCAGCTACTCAACAAAACCAACAGTCATGCAAAAAGATGAAACGCTCATTTGTTATAACAATGTTATCTCGCCAGAAATTCAGTATTAATGCTTGAATCCAAGTTACCACACACTGAAGACGTCAGTTTGTTTCAAGAAATGCACAGATTAGCAGCATCAGTTTTGCTAAGAGCAATACCATGATAGGAAGCAACTACCAAACCAAACACACCCCGTTATTCTTGATACCACCCCACATTCTGTGCTATTCATACACTCATTCCCTCATGAAACAGTTTGTTTAGTCTCCCATTATGCCTGTGAACAGAAATATACCCTCTTATTAAACATATGTTGGTCAATAAAGAAAGTAAAGTAGCACATGCATTTCAAGATACAAAAGCTACAGCATAAGCATAGTTGAATTAGTGTAAGCCACACACTGTTTGTCAAAAGGAACTGGCAATGCACACACAAAGATTAGGATAGTAACCTGGAGAAAGAATGGCCAGCCAAAGTAGGGACACCACCTTCTGAGACACAAGCCATCCCGTTGCTCCCACTGTTCGCAACATGTGAAGCATAAAGTAACCTAGATTATAACAAAATTAACTCTATGTGGTAACATAAATGAGCTTAAGGTTCTTTTGCAGTATATGCAGTAAAAGAGACTCAACCCCCTGCCCATTACATGTTCTGCAGTTTTAAACCATACCTTTCAGTAATCTACAAACTTGGTTCTTCACTATTTAAGAGCAAAGCAAGCCAGTAATAAATATGAAACCAAGTAAAACCAAGACAATTTAGAAACAGAACTCACATATAAACAGAATGATCAACAGCATTTGTGCAGTTAGAACATTACTTTTCCAAAATCAACAAAAATTTTACATTTTGTAGCATGTTTATCTAACAATGCCATGCTAAGTATACCAGAGAATAGCAGAAAAAGTACTACTATATAAAAAAAGTTTTAAGCACATCATTACTTTAAAAGCATCTTATTTGTTCCAAATTATACAACGAGTTCATTACCTAGGTTCATGTGTAGAAGAGGGAACAATTAAAATTTTTAAATCCTAGTGAAAGAATTAAATAATGATGTCTAAGAAATACTGATAAATAATAGAAAATATTCCCTACTAGAAGTTACAAGCAGTAAGTTTTCATTAAATTGAATGTTCCCAGGGATCTTCAGTATGTCAGTTTTGAGTCTCAAAAAAAAACAACCAAAACAACACAACAACAAAAAAACCCAATGCACTGTAAGAAAATGCTCTAACTTAAAGCCCACTGAAGCCAGCAATTACTATATTTAATACTGGGACTGTTCGTTCTACAGAACGAACTATGTATTATACTTAGAAAATAATCCTACATTTTTAGATTAGCAAATATGTCTGGGTTAATCTGAGGGATTATAAATATACCAACCCAATATTTTGCAAAGCATTTAGGTGACTGAAGTGTCCCAAATCATTTTCCTTTGCTGAATAAAGAGCACTCAACAGATTCTTGATGCCTCTGTCATTCAAGCTAGGGAACGCTCATCTCACAGGGAAGATTCTATCCCTATATAAGATTCCTGTAAAAATTGACTATCACTAGAACAAAAATAAAATGTTAAAAACCCTTTATTCAAATGATCTGCATACCAATACCTCATACCTCGCTTTCATTTAAAGGCAGCTTTTCAAGCTATCGAGCATACAGACTTCCCCAAAGTACAATAAATTAACAATCTGACTTGTTCTTTCTAACATACAAGGTGTATGCTATCCCTACACCTTGTTTTTACTAATAGGCAAGCAGTCTGCCAAGCTTGTACAGAAGCCAGTATCAGAGCAAGAAGTCAAACAGGAAAGGTGTTAAGTAATTTTCTAGACACTTTACACTTTTAATCTACTTTGATAGATGAAGATAAAAAAACAAATGCAAACCAGTATGTATGATTAACATTGTGAGACTGCAATGCAAAATAAAAGAAAAATGGTCCAAGTCAACCTGCATAAGAAAAGGTGTGCCAAATGGTCCTTGCTACCCTGTGAGCCCATGAGGATTGCATGTGGTCTGTGGTGTATATTTCAAGATGTTTCTTCCCCTTACAGTCATCACCTGTTGGTTGTGGTAACAGTCAATTAATGGGACAAAGCCAGGATCAAATCAAGATTGTTACAGGATAACTTGAACAAGTCTATTTCATAATATCAGTTATCAAACCAAAAACCACTAAGCAAACTTCAGTGGAATAAAACTTCCTTGGGGAAATATTACAGTACACCAGGCGATCACTGTTCTCCCCCCTACATCTAAGTTGCAAAACAAACATTTACTTTGTATCTTCCATAGAGTCATGGGGCATCCCATATTATTATTATGGCAACAACCTGGTGTACAGCCCAAGGCTAAAAGACAACATCAATCATTATACTTACATATTGATTCCTCATTTACACCAAGACTGCTATCTTCTCTGTAAAACTCCTTTACATTCATGCTTCCACAGTAGTCTGAGTGAGCTGCACCACATTCAAAAAAGCATACATGGAATCAAACTCTCAAGTTCAAAGCACATATGCACATTTTAGCTATCATATATGCAGATTTCAGCTAAACTGGCTTGGTTCACTATTAAAGCTAAGTTACCCACAGGAAACCTGAAAAGTGATCAAGGAAGCAGCCTACTCTGTGCAATCTTATTTTTTCTTCTTTAAGTAAGAGAGGGCCTTTTGGTTCAAAAATCCTTCTGCTTCTTTTCAGATAGCAAAGTTAGTAAAAAAATCCTAAGTAACAACTCATCAAATCTTGAGGCCCTATTCCTATCATTCTGTCAAGTGTGCCAACCGTTACATCTTTGTATTGATTTTATCAGAGATCTTAAAAGACTGAGAAGAAAACATTAGCAAGTTTTAAGGCACTGAGGCACAGAGAACGTGAGAGAACAAAGTTTTATTGATACACAAAAATCAGTTAACTTCTGCCTATGGCAATTTAACTTCACTCGTAGAGCATGTATTACAGAAGAGAAAGCACCAAAGAAGAATTGAACATTTCGAAGGAAAGCAAGATGTGCTTTAGAGTAGTGCAGAGTGATGATGGCAGCTTTAGTTTTGCAAGACAGATCTAATCAAGCTTTCAGTGCACAGTGGGCTTAAGGGTAACAAGATAGTCCAAACATTGAAAAGTTAGGATTTGACACTATCACACCAAATAGTTTTTAAAAATCAACTTAAGTTTCTCAGTTTAAACATTACCTTCTACCACTCCCTAGTAAAAATCAACACGTGAATCTTAACCGTGACACAGATCTCACATATGTGAATCCTGATACTTCCAAAAGAGAGGGAAAGTATGAAAAACAGTAGCACAACCAAGATAAATAATTTTTAAAAAGGGAGAAAGACAGGAGCCAGCCGAAAGAACACCATAGTGGCAAAGATGAAGCCCGTAAGAAAAAAACCAAACACACATTCTGACTTTGTGTGGAGACCAAGGAAGACAACTGAAAAGTACCTTTAAATTCATAACCCAGCTTCAGCAAAACCATTTGAAATAGTTGCACTAATAGTGATGCAAAAGATGCTGCAGCATGTTTGACCAATCGCAGAATCTTACTCATGTAGAAATAGGTTCCTCCTATTGAAAAAAACAGTGTGAATACAAATTATTCACCTACATAAAGATGTACTTCTATTCTCTGGTGACCATTACCTTGTGGAAGAGTAAGGACGAAGCAAAGAAAGCCTTTGTTTAGCCAGGAGTATGAACTTAAGCAAGCGTGGTTTGAAAAGTCTGGATGCATTAGATATTACAGCAAAGCTTTTGTAAGAACTACACATCCTAGGGAAAACACCTTCAAGACAACGTATGACTTCAGCAAGAATACCTTGTCTTAGTGAGAATTAAGAACTCTAAATAGCAATGAATTCCTTGCTTACAGAAGTCAGGATTTCTCAATTATGTGAGCTGCTGATACTAATCTTGTGGATCACAGCTCCAAAGAGACAAACTACACTCTTATTTCAGATTTGAAAGGGTGAGGACTTTTCACCTTCTTCTCTGCCTTTACGTTGGAAGAAGTTATTAAAGTGGTCTGCCTCAAGTGCTAGATTAAAACACACACTTCTTCAGAGCCACAGGACAAAGCAGCAGTCCACCATACCGCTGCTTTCCTAGAATCAGCCACATTCAAAAAACTTGCCATGATTGTGTGCCCTTTTTCCAGCTGCTCCCTCCTCCCCACTTCCCTCCCAGGTTTAACCCAAACCACTGGATTAAAGTTCAAAGGAACATACAAAGATGAGTTCCTTGTAAAATTCTCCTCTGTGAATACAAACTCAGGAGCACAGAAAACAGTTTTCAGTCAGTGTCACTTCAGGTATTTCATTATGCCAAGCCAAAAGAATTCCTACCTGTGCTACACGTTAACCAAAAATAAATACTTGCCTCAAAGCATTTGAAGTCACACCTTATAGTCCAAACAAACTGATTTCTTGCTACCGAAAACACACTTCGTTCAAGGGTAACACACCTACAGAATCCTAAAATTGGTTACTTTCTCATTCAAGGCCACTCAAGAAACAACTTCTTCATAGTAACTGAAGACTAACAACAATCAAGAAATTCAAGATGCCATGCAAGAGGCAGGCAGAGACAGTCAAGAGACTGAGGACAACCATCCACAGAATGGAGATTGCCTTGGAAAGGCAGAACCTTATTTACAGCATATTCATTTGTTTTCAAGCTTTAGGAATACAGTCACTAGGAAGTTGTCTAGTTGCAATCAGTTTTTCCCCTTTGGAGTTCTATTTTTCAAGTAGTTGAGGTTTAGCTTCTAAAAAACACTCTAGTAAGTTGCAAGGTTAAATGAGGAGGAAAAGAAAAGCAGAAAGTAGAAAGGTATCTCTCAGAGACTTCCTGGATAGCAGAAGCACTGCAAAGTAACAATTTTTTGCTCAATCTTTAAAGTTCAAATCATGTAAGAAAAAAAAAAAAAAAGAAACCAAACACCTGCATAGAAGAAGTTTTTATCTGAAAACCCTGACCAAAAACTTCTTAGACACATATAGATTCAATACCAAATAAGAAAACTCATGATCAGTGCTGGTTGGAACTGCCCATTGTCTTCCAAATCAGTTTGGAAATATAACTTGTTAAGATACCACAGCATTTTCATTTGGAAATTGTTTAATTCCTACAGCAGCATTGAAAAAGTTGATAGTTATATATCAGAAGCTGACAAGTACATAAAGTTTCAGCTGATACAGAAAAAGGTATTTCATACAAGCTGATCTCTAGAATTTAGTTATTGGTAAATTTAGCAGTGTAGGAAAAATGCTTAAATAACACTACATGGAAAATGCATTGACTAAACTGCACACCATTCTGCTATCCAGCTAAAACACAAGAGAAAGTAACTTACTAGATGCGTGTTTCTGGCTCCTATCCCTAGAGTAAATTCTGGAAGATGGCATGTGAGAAGCTGAGTATGCTGTAAGAACCTCCTTCCGTTCAGAAAGCATGCTGCAGTCACTGCAAGTGTAGCCATTGATCATTGTGGTCTGCGTTTCTGCTGTTGGTATATCACCATTTCCCTGCATCAGTGTTGTATCACTACCTAGCGAACCAAGAGTAAAACATTCAGTGCATTGACATCAGTATTGCCATCACTAGTTAGCATTAAATAGAATGCATGTGGAAGGAAAAGTGTAGTACCTTTAGGGTCACCTTCATCATCCAGACCTTCAAAGGAAAAAAAAAAATTTGGTTCCAAATATAAGGAAGTCCCATAATCAACTACAATATCTGACATGAACTCAAATTAAAAGTCCCACTAATTTTAAGACTGCAAAGAAAAGCCACTTTATTAGTATTTAACATATTTTGCAGTCCACCACACGAATAGATCCATATATTCAGACATTACTGTAGTAGGGTAATAGCTAGTGAAAAGCATTCTACCATAGAAGCAGCAGACAGAATAATATGAATGACAGCTACACCTTGTCTTAGCTCCCATGTGACTTTAAAGCAGCTAATTACAAGCTTACGCTGTTCCTGTTGCTTAGTAACTACTTTGGTACTACTGTATTTTAAGATCCAGAGCCAGATAGTCTAGTCTAAAGTTTAGAACCTGTTCTACTAAGATTGAACCAATTCTTTACATTAGGACCCTGGGAAGATCACAAGCATACTGACTAGAAACAAATAGTCTAAATTGGGAGATACAGTAAGTTGTTGATCTTCTCCTACACAACACTTTACATAGACAATACTTTATGTAGACAGCTCCAATATTTTCTTCTTCAATGAAGAAAGTAGGTTCCAGAAAAGTATACATGTGTATAGTTGCAAAACCAAACCAGCCAGCCACACGCAAAAACCCTCTCAGGAAATCCTGAGGTGCCACTAATTTGCAACTTTCAGATTAAGGTACATTAAGTTGAAACACACTTCTGCCTATAAACAAACAGGAAAATGCTTTTCCTTTGGCTTTTCAAACACAAGTTACACATTTGCCATTCTTTAAATACAGTACTCTATGCATATTTTGAAGAAAGCAATGGTAAGAGATAATTACATCTATACAATCTGTCGTGTTGCATCACAAAATCGTGTATGTTTGCCTGGCATATTAACTTGACTGTGCAACATGTCCTGATGTTGACTATGCCAGTAAATCAAGTTTACACACTGGACTGTGAATTTCCAGTAGGCATCTTAGCAAGCAAACATCTACAGCAAAAGTCTAAGTATATGCACACATTTGGGGGCAGGATGGAAAAAATGGGTGGGGAAAGAGGGAAGATGTGAACACATGTTTGTACACACCAAACCCTAAGCAGTTTTTACAGTTTGATACAAGCAATAGCAATCGTTGCCTACCCCAGAAATGATCAACTTCTGTCTGCTCTCGAATCAAAGATTCATCCAATACAGTGGATACCATTGATGCATCACTGGCATGGCTATTGAAACTGCTTTGGCTAAAAATGGAAGAGCTGGCTAGATTTTTCCTTGGTGTCTGTCTTACACTGCCAGATTGTTTATTCATACTTTTGCGTTGCTTCACCATCCTGGGAAACAAAAGACAGACAAATAAGACATAGCACTAAAGATGAAAGTTTCTGTTATTCCCTTTTTATTAAATGAATAAACAGTCAAAGTATTTCAACACTGATGTGACGAAACAGATCAAATCAGGTTTAAAAGAAAATTCTCACCTTCAAGCATCTATACTTTTACAAAGACTTCATTGCAAACCACATATTGAACATAATTTTCTAAGTATGGCAGTAAGCACTGAGAAGAAAGAATAAAGCAGTAGGTAACTTATTTTTTTACTATTGTGTTCAAACAGGAAACCTCAAGACTCCAACCAATAAATTAACTTGTGATGATAAAAAGACACTTACTTAGAAGACTGTTCTCTGAAGGACATGTTTCCAGCATAAGAGCTGTCATGAAGGGTATCACTTCGTGCATCATCTGATTTATTAAATCCTGCAGCAGCTAACCGTAAACTACGCCGTGACATTCTTGGTGAATCAAATACTGGATCTATTTTGTTTTCAGTCTCAAAATCCAAAGCAGATGAAGAATAACTTGAACTGCAGCAAAATAAAAACAGCAAAAGTTACCAGGTTTAAGAGAAAATTCCCCTAGTAACAAACACACCCTTCAAGCTAGTCTAAGTTTCCATTAAAAGCAGTTTATTCAGGGTTATGGAGCAATTCCCGCAAGATATGCCACGTAACCCAAATAATTTAGAAATGCGTAGATATTCAAGGTTCTCTTAAGCAATTCATATTACAAGTTTAACAACTGAAAGCAAATCACAGTTAGAAAGAAACAACCACCATGGAAACAACATTTGAAGTTTAGCCAGAGCAAGCATTCATTACGCAGCCTAGTTCTTTCAGGACCAATTTGAGAGAGGAAGCCATTCATGACAGTTTCTTCACCACACCTAGCAGCAAATTAAAAATCATGATGCACTCTAAGCTGCAAGGTAAAGATTCATTTTTAGTCAAAGTTTATTTCTGTTTATTTTTTGTTTGCCAGTGTTTTGAGAACCAAAGATCCATATGCCACACTACTCTGAACTTCCATCTCCCAACAAGCCGGAACGTCCCCCCTATAAGACACTTAAAGACTTCCCTACTTTAGCTACATTAGTTTAACTACCGTTACTTTAAAAAAATGGTTTTAAAAGATTTCTTAGTTTAATGTAAATCATTAGAAATATTTAACTCTGAGCAAATAAAAAGTTTAGAGTCTTTTATCTATTTTTCTGTTTTACCCTACAGAGGCAAGTTTACATGTAGACAAGCTTCACATCATTATCCCAGGAACTCTTCTCCACATTTTTACACTTGATTCTCTCAGAACCTCCATGAAAACTTACAATGAAGACAAAGCAGCAACACAAGGTAAACACAAACAGATTAATCAGAGGGGTCAGTAAGAAATACATTTACTAAAACGGAAGTTTAGGCTAAAGGAGAATACTCATACCTACAATCAAAGACAACATTCAGTCATGTAACTGAGCAGAGCTTGCTGTGACAGGGCACAGTGCAGCAGGAGGCCAGGTTCTAGAACCACGCAGCACTGTGACCCAAGTATCTAGACGTTAAGTGCTCTAGGCCAGCTTTCCTGCAGTCTGTTCCCTCTTGGGTCACAGGGATATACAGAGCTGTAACAGCAGTTACTTCAATATTCCTGGGTTTTTTGTTTGTTTTTTTTTTTTTTTTAAAAGAGCAGCTGAGCAAGGTACTGTTAGCTAAAGCAGCTCTTCCTCCCCAAAATCCCAAACAAAAACAAGCAAGCACATTAGATCTGAATAAGTAGATTCTACTGTGCAATCTGTATTTGAAATGGAAGCTTTCCCTTTAAAAAATACATATAAACAGCTACTACAAAACATATTTGTACAAAAAGAATTTAATGGAAACAGTTTTCTTACACAATCATTAAAGACCCCAGAATATTACAAAGTAATAATATATGTATTGAAGAATCACAGAATCATTTAGGTTGGAAAAGACCTTTAAGATCAATCAAGTCCAACCATTAACCTAGTGCTGCCAAGTCCACCACTAAACCATGTCCTCAAGCACCACATCTATGAGTCTTTTAAATCCCTCCAGGGATGGGGCCTCAACCACTTCCCTGGGCAGCCCGTGCCAGTGCCTGACTACCCTTTTGGTGAAGAAATTTTTCCTGATATCCAACCTAAACCTCCCTTGGTGCAACTTGAGGCCGTTTCCTCTTGTCCTATCACTTGTTACTTGGGAGAAGAGGCTGACAACCACCTCGCTACAACCTCCTTTCAGGTAGTTGTGTAGAGAGTGATAAGGTCTCCTCTCAGCCTCCCCGTATTACTTTGGCATACAAATAAGTTAACATCAGAAGGCCTAGTAGCTACCCTTACAGTAGTGATTTAATTCTGACAAGGTGGGTGCTTTAGAAGCGAGTTTCTTGATTGCTCCACAATGCAAAGTAAAGCACGTAAGATAGGACTGTGTCAGAGCATGTGAACTGCATTTCTTTCAGCTAAAAAAAACTAACCCAGACAATGCACTGCAGGAAAGCATCTAGTTGCTCCACCAGCAAATGGGCAATCAGCCCACAGAACCGGACCAGACCTTGTCCAAAAACTTCTATGATCTCCCAGAAGTGCACAGATTTGATGGCAGGTCCTTGGCAACACCTGCTTGATCTTATTGGTCTGCCCTGCTAATGCTGCCATGTGCAGTGCAATGCCGTGCAAGGCAGAAGTCTAAGCACAGCTTAAGACAAACCCAGCATACATTACTATACACATTATGCTTATTAATCCTTGCTTACATTTGGGTGGAAGGGGGAGAGGAAATAAGACAGAAGCCTCCTCATATGAAAACAGATTTAGTCTACATTTGATTAGGTACAAAAGGATATAATTTTCACAGTTTTCAAAAATATTGTTTGGACAGCTTGCATTCTGACAGATGTGAAGTGAGAATACAGGCTAAATATGGCCCTTCCTGTTGTTCATTCTGAAAGGGTCAGAGCCACAATAGTTTACTATTGAGTCCCTCCCTAAACAGTTGTTTCAGAACTCAGTTTTGCTATTTACACTTGCCACTAGGCATTTGCTTTTTCTCATCTTCATCCAATGTTTCTTACAGACGCTCAATTCACAAGAACACAAAGTACATAGGACAAGCTGACAGCTGTGACCAGACTCAATTTGTTTCTGTTTATGAACACTTGCTGTTTTTAAGTACCTCAGTGAGCATTTGTATCAATTTCGGTTGAATACATAGGTTGGAATTGGGCTTTACTATCTAAAAAAAAACAAAACACAAAACAAACAAAACCAACCCATAGGATCTTTTCCTCTTTAAACAAAAAGAGAGGTTCTGTCTTGCTTATGCAGGACAATAAATAATTCTCTTCACATTGAAAGTGAAGGGAATTATCTGTCCTCTGTCAGCAGGACAGTATCTAGAAGTCTCCTAACTTGCCATCTCACTTTCCACACTTTGGAAAGCTGTCTTTTCTTCTACAGAAAAGACTACAGTAAACAAAAAAACCCTGCTTTTTCTTTCACAGGACAGAAGTGAACCTGTACATTGATGGTACTCCTATCCAATACATATGGCTAGCAAAAAAAAAAACCAACATACTAAAGATGGGATGCAATTAGCCTACACTCCTAGATAACCCACACAAACCGTGCAGACTCTGGTTCCTTTCCCCAACAAACAGCTCCCATGGCTGCTAGCAGATGTGCCGACTGTGTCTAGTCTTACATTTCCAGCTTCTTAGCTATTACCTTGATACCTCCTTCACATGAGTTTCTACAAAATAAGAATGCCCTAGACTTCAGTGGGTTGATTTTCAAGTTTATTTAAGTGGAATGAGAACAAGGTCTGCCAATTCCAGCACACGTATAGCTTTGTCCAGAGGACCTTAAGTATCGTTTCTTTTCTAAGTATTCCTTGGAATGAAACGGGCAGTAATGTTCTTGATTGTTCAAGATAGTAATAGATTAAAAACAACACACCTAGAGAACTATAGCTGAACAGACATCTCCTAATATGGATGCAGGCATATAATCAGTATATAAACATTCATATACTTTCTGACCAGGGCACTGCTTATATTAACCGGCCAAGGACACTACCTTGAGTTGTTTAGCTATTGCTTCGGTTAGTCCCAGAACACACGTAAAAAACAAGGTATTTTATTCAACTGTTTTGCAGAAAGTTACATACTGATTTAATATTCTGACACAGAAAACAAACAAACTAACCTCCTCCAAAAAAAACAAAAAAAAACACAAAACAAAAAAAAATCCTGATGAATTTAATCCACATTTGTGAAGAAAAAGCAATGTTAAAGGTACCTGAATTGACAAAAAAAAACCCCACAACTCAAAAGATGACGGTGACTAAAGGAAAGATCAGCCTGAAGAGGTGGGTGTAAATTACATGTTGACAAGTGGGTGAGATTCACAAGTTTGACTTTTGAGTAGGATAAAGCTTGTTTAGCTATATCAGTTTAATGCTTTTCTGATTTGGGCTGATTAAAAGCACAAAGTAGAAGCACTACCAACAATCCCAGTGAGTATTAATACAAATTCTATTAATAGGTCATAACCAACTCTATTAATACCTTTGTGGCATCTAACTTCACTGTACTTCTTTCTGCAGTGCTACATGCACAAGCCAATTTCTTTAAAGAAATTCAGACAGATTTTGTAGAGATTGACTTGTCAAAGGCAGAACAAGCCAGATCAGGAAATAAGCAAAAGAAATACAGGTAGGCGGGAGAGGAGAAGGAATGAACATCAGCATGAAAATATTTCTGATTAGCAACTCTGCCTAACTCACCCTTTCCTCAGATTCTTCAAATGTAGCTTAACCCAAGGTAGGAAGAGCTACACCAATAATACATGGCATTCTGCACAGATTCAGCAAGCAGACACACAGTGAGACTTTGCTCAAAAGACGGTAGTTCACTCTCTTGGTACCCTGAAGGCAGGCAGTGTACCAAGCAGTTTTCCCCCATTATCTTAATATTTGGCGCTTCACAGAATTTTTCAAAAGGAAATTTTAAAGAAAGTGCTTGCTAATTCTTCCTTTCTACACAAAGAAGAATCACAATGAATTAATTTCAATTTAGTTTAACTATACTTGCCTTCATTAAGTCAGTTATTAAACTTCAGCTTATCCAGCTCTGTTTCTGAACACCTATATCTAACAGTTTAACACAGCAAAATGGGAGGCTGAAACTAGCAAACACCCTACAGAGTTATTTTTAGAAAACTGAAGTGATTTAAGAAAAACAGTCTAATAACGGTCAGTTTCATAAAAAGCTACAAGAAAAAGGAAGTTCATTAGAATACAGATTTTACATTCACACAACAAGCAGTTTTGCTAAAAAGAGTAATCAATATGCGACTTCCAGCCAAGTTCCCCACTAGCAGCAATAAGTGCATATCAATCAGTGTTTTAAAGTGAAAATGGTGCCAAGCCACAAAAGAAAACACACACAGAAGTCGCAAGACATACCAGAAAAGATCTAAGAATTTTGCTGACGTATTTATAGAAATAAAACAGCAATTGTAACTAGGCGGAGACTAGTTTATTCGTAGCAACTAATAAACACTGAGTCATTATCTTAGTCATTGTCCTGTTAGTTCAACATGTATTCTTTCCTCCATTTAGGACACAGCAGTTATTTTCAAAACAGACTAGATAAAGCATGCTTCTTCAAAGAAGTCAGCTACTTACCATGAAAGCTAAACTCTCCAGAATTAACAACATTCAGAGAATATACAGTTTCTCTACAAGAAGAAAAGAGTTCTCACCTGAGTGCATATGTATAGCCAGTGTTCTCTGGCAGACATTGGGGAGGAGTGTACGTGTGTAGACGTGAAAAGTCCATGTTGACTGTTTCAAATCATACTGTAAAAGGTGAAAATAAAGTAATGCAATGACTTAAAATTACATAAAGTCAACGTAAGAGCCCTTTCACTGTTCAGCCTGTGTTATGAAGTATTGAAATAAAAAAGCTACTGTTACCAGAAATATGGAGCTCTCTACTTCAGCGGTATTGCTGCCAGTGCTAGATATCCCTTATCGTTACTGTACGAAGCTTGGTGTACTTCTGACCGCAACTTTCTTTATGATATCCTATTTTCAGCAATTTCCGAGTTCTCTGGAACATCACTGTAATACGAGTCAAGCTCTTATCACAACTACACTACAACACTTGCATAGGAACTAAGTTATGCTAGCATCCCCAAAAGCCAAGCATAAAGATTTACAAAAAAACCTACGTAACCACACTGTCAGAGATCTCTTCACAATGGGCTTTCAAAGCAAAAGTCATTGAGCAGAGCACGGGCTGTTCCGTGCACCAAAGCGTAATACAGATGAAACTTGAGAAAGTTTTTACATATAGTCAAATCATTTTACTCTACAACCTTTGAATACCATCCACTACGCAGCAAGGAAGTTTCCTTCATTTCATATTAAATTGTAGTATTTGGTATCGGTTAATTTATTCTTGACAAAAACACTGAATACACACCCTAGCAGCAGAGCCAACTGCAAAATGACTCACATGGCTAGAATTAGCTACATTTTCCAGAGTGCCATCCACTTCCAAAAAAATAAAACAAAAAACCCAAGCCCAACCCACACTTGTAAAACTTTCCGTGGGGTCTTTGAAAGGTATTAGAGATTCAGGAAGTAAATAAAAACTGATGTTGTCATATCAAGAGACTTGCCAAGCTGCACAGGTGACTACTTGTGGTATTATGTATGATTTGACTGTTAAGTTCAAAATATTTGCAAAAAAACTTGAGCCCTTCTCAGTTTTATTAGCCACAATAAGAGTTTTGCTTTTCTAGAAAGATTCTTTGATAGCAGGTTATTCATGGTTAACAAATAGGGATTTGGCTATCCTGGATTTGCACAGTCAGCAAAGCAGAATCATGGCTACTTTCAGATTATCTACGGCTCCTGTTTCAGCAGCAGTAAAAGATACTCCACACAACTGTGTTGACATGCCTAAACTAAGGTAAAAATACCCCTAGCTACACTTTAATTCTTATAATCAAAACATCAGTAAGTATCTCATTTTGGAGATGCACTTTGCTGTGCTGAAATAAGAGGTTTTCATTTATATAGCTACACATACATAAGAAACAGAAAAAAAGCAGAGAGTCACAGGTACAGGTAATAGCAGTTCAAAAAGAAGTCTCTACATATAACACTAAAGTGATCTTAGTCCACCTGTAGCCTCCAAATCCTGATGTCAATAAGGCAGGAGGATATTTCCATTATGACTGAAGACAGTTTCCTTCTTGTTTTTAAAAATCAAAACTTACAGGCCTAAACATTGTAGCTTTCTGAAAGCAAGCACCTCCCATGCATTTACAGGGTTAATGAAAAATAAGGGATCTCACTTCTGCTATTTATAATATTAAAAAAACTCATGCGTAGAGAACACATTTCCATTAAGTGATCTTTCTGTAAGTTTACTTCACTTGTCCCAGACCCATAATGCTTTCACTGGCTTGTATATAAAATTTCTTGTTTGTTTAGAGGAAGCTTAAATCAGTATTGCAGAAGTATTCGCAAAGCAGTCTAATTCTCTTGCTAGAATAAGCAGCAAATACTGGGAGAATACACAACAACTGCTGCCATACTTTAACAACAAATAAGAGCTCATTTTAGGACATAGGAAACAGGGACCAGAGAGTAGCGATTCCTCAGGAATGAAAGTGGAAATACCGTGAATTTCAAGATGAGGGATGTTGATAACATCAGATAGCACTTATTTTAAACAATAATAAAACAGATTTCTCAGACATATGGCTATTGAAATTCAGAACCATGATTAAGGCTGACCTGTTTAAATTGGTCCATCGAATAGAAAGATTTTTGAAACCACACGCCAAGGACACCTGTTTAGTTTCCACTAGAGCTGATCTTAACTAATTAGCACACATCATTTCATCAATAAACCTACTTTTTAACCGGCAACTGAATAGCTGATATAATGCTTTTGACACCCAGCAATATTTTCCCACATGGAAAGCTAAGCTATGCGAGTGAGCTTTCGGTAGCTACCTAACTCCTCCCTCTGTCTCTGCTACCCATACAGGCAGGGCAAAGGCAGAGTTTGAAAAATAACGTATCGGCTCAGCTTCTTTCCCATTCTTTTCCCCTTTCCCACCAGTTTGCCATATACTTGATTTCTAAAGAAATAAAATGCTAAAATTTACATCATATTCCTAATTTGCTAAGGTTTGAAAGTACATCATTAAGTTAGTATTAGATAAAATAGGTACTTGACAATGGCATTGCTAACTGAAAAGCCTTAGAGGTATTTATGCATAGGTCTATTAATAGCTGGTTTTCCTTGCACCGAGATCTCCAGTAAAGATAACAGGTTTGCCATTTAAACACCACATAGTTAGAAATCACTCTTAGAAGACTTGGGGGCTTGGTTTGATTCACTGTTTGTCTGATGCTCTAAAATTAATTCAGACTCAATGGGAAAAACCTTTACCCAATTTCTCAAAGCAACAAAACAGCCTTAACTGACTTAAGCAGAACTTGAAAATAATCTTCAGAGATCACCACCACAATTTTCAAAAACAAGCATCTAAAGTTTACTATGAAACTGTTTGGGTGTTTTTGGGTGGTTTGTTTTGTTTTGTTTTGTTTTTTTAACCTGGCTACTGGTTCAATAACTTAATTTTAGTTATCCATTTCTTCAAAACAAAACCCACAAAACAAACCATCAACCCAATTTATTTAGAAATATTCTATATACTTATTACAGCAGAACTTTAAACTACAGAACAGACCAGGGGTAGGTGGAGGACAATAACTCCCTCTAATTTGTTCACTCATGTTTAACAGCACTTCACCTTTCATATATTATTTCTTCTCATTTATGAAACTAGTATATACAACTGGAACAGAAAGAGACATGCTAATAAAATATTTTGGAAATTTAAAACCACAAAACTTGGCAGAGAACCTGAGAGGCAGACATAGTACTTAGTTCCAGTTTAAACACTTCCGGGTGCCCAGCAGATTTCTGATTTAGGTACCATAGATCAGCATAGACTCAGATTCAGGTAGGCTTTTGGCATCAGCTTTGCTGCAAGCATTACTGGGCCCAAACTTTAAGTAGCCTTTTTTCCTTCTTCAGAAGCCCATAAACATCTATTTCTAAGTACTAAGGGATGTATAGTGAAAGAACTCAGCATGTAGTCACATAAAAACTCCCAAATAAGAGCACATTTCTAAGACAACCTAAAGGCAATTAAAGAGAAGCACACATTTCAGCTGGAATGGAAGTGGACACTAGAATACGCCTCAATTTACAAACTAACTTCTGTGTTCCTGTGGATGAGACAGCTGGATTATTTGCTTTTTTGGGGAAGCAGACAACAACAATCATGTCAAGTATCATCTCTGCTTCACAATTCAACTGAATCAGTGTTACAATAAATCAGCAGAATAGAAGGGCAGGACAAGATACAGATTCTGACTTGGCCAGAACTCAAGGCAGCACAGGGACTCCCGTAATCAGCGCAGCAGAATTTACCTTCGCACAAAGCCCCTTGGCTACCTCCAGAAGATGTGGCCTATATGAAGCATCTGAGTGACATGAGACTGCACCGCTACTTCATAAACCTCTTTATTTCCTAATCACTTTCAGAATCAGACAGCCTCAAGGAAACCCTAGCACCGCTGCAGCAAACTTCCTGGCTTTCATGGAAGGCGATGAGGTGCTGATAGTGGCCTTTAAGCACAGAAGCATCACAAGAAGGGAAGCAGCACCAAATACACGTTGTATATACACACTACAAGCACATGGCAACCCCCACCTTTTTGGGTACATAAATAGACTTCTACCAACATACTATCTAGGCATTTCCTCACGAACACCCTTTGTGACAAAGGAAGTGGTAAATTGCCATTTCACAAACAGGACCCTGGCAGGGTAGAAATATTCACCAGGAAGTCTGTTATAGAATGAGAAAATTTGCAAGAAAGCATGTCTTATTTTTTACATTACAAGGGGTAAAAAAAAATAATTACACATTTAAAGTCTTAGAGAGATGCTGGTAGTACTATTTCAAGTAGAACCTATTCTATCCTTACCTTTTAAAGCAAACAAACGTCATTATGATTTAACATGCTAATATCACAAAAGCTAAACAGACATTTGGGCAAATTATTAACAACAATGAAACTGGAGTATGCAATCCTATCAGTTCCTGAGAGCAAGCCATTTTTTACTCGTAATTTCAATTTTTATTTTCTACTATTATTCAGAATAACCAAAAAAATCACTCTTTTTGGTAGAAAAAAGGCAAATTTCTAAGTAAATATACTCTACGAAGAATGTTTCCACATACCCAATTAACTATTAGTTTAAACAGGCTGAAGAGCAAAGAGCTCCAAGCTAAATCAACACTTTATTAAAACACACACTTAAAACATTAGTATTCCTTAAAAAAAACCCACACAAAAGCAAACAGACAAAAAATCCCAAGTAATAAAACTCACATTTTAAACTAGACATTACCATTCAGTATTATTGCAAAGATCCCCAAACACAGGTGTCAAACCGTAACGCTACTTAAAAAAAAAAAAAAGAGGTTCTTCACACAGCAGTAATAGTGCATATTCACATTAAGTACCCCTTCAAATGGTTTGTAAAAGGAAGGTTGATAGAAAACAGGTATACTTTCAGCTATGGTGAAACAATAAACACGCCCGTTCATTGTTTACACACACAGCACCTGAAACACTGCACGGCAACACACGGACTCATTTTATGAGCTAGGAACCTCCAGATCATCTCACAATTAAATACATACAAAGGCTTCGGCGCGCAAGCCTCACCAGGCCTCTGCATTTAAAGAGATTCAGCGC